TGCTAATGCGTAGGGACTCGGAACCATACCTGTACCAGGGGTATGCCTGTACATATCAGAGACAGGAGTGCTTACACGCATTTTCGTGTTATGTGAGGTATAGCGGCACCGCAGCGTAGCCTCACGCCTCTGTTACCGTGTCCATGACTTTCGTGAACTAGTATTATTACAGCTGCCTTGGCCTACCGACCCCCAAGTCCAGAGCGATCGTGTTATCTGTCGTACATACACAAGTTTGACCTACATGTAGCGTCTGTATGTGTAGACACACTGCAATGATGGCAGCAAGAGCGCTCGCGGGAATACTTCGGTCATCAAGCCTCAAGGTACACGTAGGTCTTATGTTATTGAATAGCTTTATTTTCTATGTTCTATACTGAATACACACGAGTGCATGTTCATCTCTGCACGTTGTTATCTGCATTACACGTGTAGTCAATTTTGGGCTCAACAAGTGCAAGTTTACACCAGGTGCAATATGAAGTTGCTGAACGCTTTCTTTACTTTAGTACTCGTTACAATAGTACAATGTGTTTTTAAGACCTAACATCATCTCAAGAGACTTACATAATCGTTGTCTGAGTACTGACTCGTAGTGGTATGTGTATATGAAAAGCTTTTACTTACAGTGCATTTTCTTTCCATTTCTACTATGTTATTAGAAAATACTGCAATACAAACTGACTGCATGTACATCAACTGACTGACGGCATTTTTGCTGTTCAAATGCTTCACACTTTTTAGTGGTGGTCTTGTTGAGGGTGCTTCATGATTAATTTCCTTTTAATTTCTTTTGATACAATTTATAAAAAAGTTGCCACCTGTTATTCCCTACTCTGCTTCATGATAACCTGCAGTAAATATATGGAGCCAAGTAGTACTCACATTGGTGCAATTTTAAAATGTTGTCTTTAAGCACATTAATTTTGCTCTCCCTTTTAACATAAAGTGCAATGTGCTTATTTGCCACTAGATTAAGCCACTACATGTGATTTTTATCTATGCATTTAAATTGGTTATGAATGTGATTTGCTCAAACTCTTTTAACAGGTAGACCCCCTAGTGATATATGGAAAAACGTCCACTCTTCGCACCTTGGGTGTCATAAGTAGTAGTCGTCAATATGCCACTGACAAAGTCTATGAAATACGCACATATAGTTTATACCCCAAGGATGTTAAGGAGTTCATGGCTATCTCTGAAGAAAAATTACACTTAAGACTGAGAGCTTCCAAAATTATTGGCTATTGGACTTCTGAAATAGGGGGGATGAACCAAGTGTTTCACATATGGGAATATGGTAAGGATTTAGCAGCGATATCATTGTAATATGGTATGTTCCAAAGCTTTCATGAGCAGGTTAAATTATAAAAATTTGATATTGGGCAAAGATTTCAAGTTTTAATATAAAGTGATTATTCCAATAAATTGTAAAGTAAATTAAACACTAATGTTTAAGATTGATTCTTCCAGACAGTTTAAAGCACCGTGCCCAGGTGCGGGCAGCCTTGGCAAGTGACCCTGATTGGTTGTCTCAGTACATCAGCCGAGTTATTTCCATGTGGTGTAAACAGGACAACCTGCTCACCAAGGCCATTGCTGGACCAGATGGTGATCTAGATCAGGATAAAGGCAGTAGGTTTATGATGGCTGGCTCGAGGTTTGCAGTAGGACTTGAATGGGAGGGAGTGTTGAATATAGATACAGATTTCAAATGCACATCATCACTATTTGGCAAATGGTCAAAAGATTATCTAAAGTCTATAAGGGATATATATATATATATATATATATATATATATATATATATATAGTAGATAATTAATAGTTTGTGACATGAATGGAAAATATATATACCAATGCTTAGGATATTTTCTCGTACCTAGCAATTTATAAATTCATTCTCTCTTTGTTAAATATTCTGTTGTTCTTTCAGACTTATATTTCCTACAGAGGTACAACAGCAATAGCTCCAGTATGAGCAATTTGACGAGTGAGCTGCAGAGTTTGCAGTCTGGGACAAATATCAAGCTGGCAGGAGGCTGGTCAAGTATTCTTGGACCAAAAGATACTGGTACAGTTCTCTATATATCCTATTTGCAGCTGTGTGTTATGACTATTAATATACCCAATTATTTTTATTGCTTTAAATACAAGGCATCCATTTAAATATATATATGATTGAAACTGCACATGAAGTAGGTAATGTGCTATGATACTGGTACTCATAAATTACTTGCCAGAATTACAACCTCTTCATAGTACTTATAATATATTTAAATATCAGCAAAAATTTTATATAGATGTTTCTACATGAAGCAAGAAATGTGCACTATAGAAATGGTACCAGTACAATGAAAATGGAAATTTGTATGAAGAAAGTATAACATATTTTTAAGAATTACATCAACATAAAGGCTATCCACAGACTAGAATCATCTCTGTTCAACATATTTAGTTAGATTGATTTTGATGGCTAGTTATCAATAGGACAAATCTTTCAGCATCATTGTTACTGACAATGTAATTTTTTCACTGTGTGAAACAGTTTTGCTCTTGTCCTTTTGTATTTTTCATCATAGTGGAAAAATAAATTTTGGTCCCTTAGAGCACAGCAAAAAGGTAAAGATTTTTTTTTTTTTTTTTTTTTGGGGGGGGGGGACTTCTGGATATACATTAGTTTTCCTATGTTGAATGTGTGTGCTATTATTTGCAGTTATATACACATAATTGTGGACCGTTTATTACCAAGGAATGGCCAAAATTTTGAATTATTCCTTCACATTTTAATGTTATAATGTTTCATATCTTTAAAATACCGTTATCTTTCAGCATATCTGTTGTGGCAGTGCAAAGACCCAGATGATTTTCTGGTATGGCAAGAAAATTCAAGTGAAAAAGTAAAAGGTAAAATAAAACATTGACTGACTTGTTTACACGAGAAGTCACTTCTTTAAAGAAGGCTTGTTTTTTTTCTGCTAAAACATATAAGATGTGAATTATTGGTCCATAATGCCTCATAAAACAGTTGGTATTGATTATGCTTTAAACACTTTTCCTTAATGCCTGACTTTACCTTACTCATTCATTTCATTATCCAGGTGCATTTTGAGATCATTTTTTCTAATTTCCGTCATCCCCACTAAAATCATTGCATCTTTTGCCACTGTAATCACATGTATGTGGTAATGATATTGGTAAATTTTTTAAAACTTTAATCATGATCATTTTAAAGAGGGTAAATTTAAGATGTGCCAAGATTATGAGTAAAGAAATTCTTTACTTTGATACAGACAAGTTGCTCCTTATTTCTTTCAATAATTGAATATTCCTTGGTTAAATGTTTTCAAGTTAGAACTTGATTAAAATGTAAATCTTCATAATAATTTGATATGTCACTTTGATACCTTTCAGTTGTGCCAGAGCACTCTCAACTGCTGATTCCATGCCCATGGTCACCATTGAAATAAAAGTCACTATTAAGTTGAGGGTACCTGCTTTAGGACATCATGAAGAAATAACCTTTTATCATTTGTTTAAAATCTATGCATTAGGAGATGTTTTAGTCTAACCAAAGTGATCAGATTGCTGCTCTATTGAAAACACAAAGATTGTAGCATTTCCAAGAAAGAAAATTGCTGGTGCGAATTGAATTCCATATGTTGAGTCCCACTTCTTATATTGAACATTATCAACTTTACATATCAAGAAATGTTATTTTAAAAAATATATAATTATACAAAGAAATATATGCTTATTGAATTGAAGAGCAGATTTCAAATAGGTTACATATTTGTGTCAAGATTTAGTGAAAGTAGATGTCAACAAATATAATAGCATTCAAGTTGATTTAATTGACATTTTTTGGTAATATAGATTAATTTTACAGCTAGCACTTGATATATGAAATAGTTATGAATTTGTTACTCTTCCTGAGAATACATTAAATGGCAGAATGCTAAGATTCAATTGTTTAGGTGATGTATTACCATGTTTATCTGTCAAAGAAAAAATGAAGTTGCTCCAAAGAAGTTAATTTGAAATATTCTCCATCTTATTGTTGTCGTATCTAAATGCACTGTTGTAAAATTTATGAAAGGGCAACATTCCCCTTTCTATTAGTATGTAGTATGTTTATAGTTAATCATATATTTTAAATGTTTTAAACACAACATAAACCTGTTCAATTTAATTGTACAATTTGTTTTATTTTGATCGAAAAAAATGCATTTACTCTCTATGTACAAAATATTATATTATACATTTATAGCAATGTTCTTGATGAATTTATAGCACCTTTAACTTGTTGGGAACATGCAGTATAAAAATCTGTGAAACAATCGGTAACTTCATCATCTATAAAATAACATAACATACATTTCAACAGTTATTAAAATATTCAAACACACTCTATGAATACAAATCAAAATGCAAATCAAAGCAATGATCCATATTTTTGCAGGGCAATCTTGCAAAGTAAAATATGGGACACTCCATCTTAGAAAATGCACCTTGTGATTGAAAAAAAGACAAAATATTGGATATAATTTGACATAAATATACATCAATTAACTGAAGATCATTCAGAAAATACTTATTTTACAAACAAACATCTCATTCATAAAAACTCTGAGGTAGCCCTTTTCAGGTTGAGATTTTTACCCTCTAGCCTTTAAAACTTGGCCTAAACAAAATGGAACTGCATTTATTCTGAGACAGTCATCGAGATCTCATGTTATTGTTCCCATGTAATATTTCCACTGCCACTTACGCTATTTTGAATATTTTAATTTAAAAATTGTAAACCAGACAAAATAAAATGAAACGCAATTCATGTCATGGGTTTCTAAAAATAAAGAGATTTGATCGCATGCCCAGGTTGCAACATTAACTAATGTCTATCCTGTATAAAATAAGATTGTTTCCAATTTGAAACACTACCCAGGTGTGTGTGATCAAATTATAAATTTCCACTGCAAAACAAATATTGTTTTAAATGATCAAATCAACTGTCCATAATACAGTTATGTTCTAAGGGGTCCAGCTGATTTAGGCCTAGGGGAATTCCTGCCACTGTATGAGCTGTCTCCAGGTCCCACTCTCTCCAGTGAGGGAGGAAGTTTTCTCTTTATAGGCCCTCTTTGGACCTGTCTGGCTCTCTGTCCAAATCCAAGGCACTGCAGGGACTCTGTCACATAACGTTGAGCTGGGGAAACGCACAGCATGGCAAGCAGCTTGGCATCTCCACCTGTAACCATTTAGTTTGAATAATATTACATTGTATAACACAACTATACACAATTATCTGTTTTCAAAAACCTTTATCTTACACTAAATTATCTACAAAAGTTAATGTGCATATATTTGTTATTGCCGTAAATGCTGCATTAAAAATGGCATGATTTGGTATCAAGTTTTATAGAAGCTGTCCACCAATCTGCTGTGTTCAAGGATGCAACTACAAAGATGCAACTAGCTTGAAGTTTTGTATTGGATCTATAAATATGGAGTATTATCTTTTATAATATAAATAAACTCCAGTACAGGAATTATCTATGTGTACAATCTGTTCCTACCTATAGAATCTTGCAACAAGTGTGTAATTTTGCTGTTTCTGTATGGTACATGTGCCCTGTGTTCTGCCAGAGCTCCCAGCACATCAGCCAGGGCACACAGGCTTTTGTTGATGTGGGATGTCTCGCGCAAGGCTTGCCCTGTCACTCCAGACATTCCTGTAGGATGGAGAGAGTAATTATATGAATCAGTATGAGATGTTTCAAGAAATGATGGTCTACTGTTGATTTCCATTAAATTCCGTCAAAGTTATCAACACATATCCTGACAAATTAATCTCTCAGCTGAAACTTGTGGAGATATCCATCCCCAGCTAAATCAAACAAAATGTTACTTATCACCATATTTATGGCAAGATTACTTTATAAACTGCAACTTACCAACACATTCACTACCAGCTAAATCTACCAACTGTAACTTGGTTTTGACAGTGCTGCCTGTAGGTGTTTGAGCAAGAAGAACAGGGGAAGGTGATCTGGATCTGATAGTTTGCTTGGCTCCTGTATAACCTTGGGGTTGAGGTGGAAGTTGCCTCCTTGGGGGTTTGTCTCTGGGGGCTGGGGAAAGGGGCACTGCAAACACTGGAAAGAAATTGAAATTCTTTTAATGCAGGTGAAAATATAAAAATTAAAAAAAAAATTACTCCTTTAATGACAAAGGTAGAAAATGTATCAAGAACCTAGACAATAAATATTTCTTTATAAAAACTAATATTGCAATTATAAGAATTTAACAAAAATCACAGTTATTATATTAGCTTTTTATTTCTTTTTTGCACTTTTAGTTTCTCATTATTTACTTTATTTATTTCAAACTCACCACCTAAGCAAGTCATTTTGATTTACTTCCCTTGCATGAGCAAAGTACAACAAAATTAAAGCTTAAGCATACCTCCTTCAGTGGGCGACCCTGGTGTGGCAGGTGGAAATAGGAACATGTTGGGTTTAATGCTGACAGTCAGAGTGACAACCAGGTGTGAGCGGCTGGAGTGTTCATGAACCAAGGTAGCAATCTCCCTCCTTGCCTTCAGTCCATGCTGTACCAGGCTCATCACTTCATATACTGTCTTGACAGGCCTAAAATGTGAGGAAAATAAAAGAAACAGGGGTTGATACATATGCATTATGACAAAGAAAAAAAAGCTACATATTTAGCAAATTGCCTGCAAATTATCTATTTTCAAAAAGGCTGTTGAATTTCATTTTTGTCATGTTGTTTGCAAATGCTATGTAAAATCCAAAGAGATAATTTTCTATGAATAAATAATTATAATGAATGATATATCTTTACACCATTAACATTTTTTTCTGTTTTTAATGTAACTTATGAAAAGTGTGAAAAATAAGCTTCTTTCCTCACTGAAATACATTCCATTTTTCAGTTTTTATCCATAAAATATCAAAATAGCTTTACACGAAGTCCTAAACCACACCAATTCAATATACCTAGATGTGACAGTTGGCACACACATGGACCCATCAGTGTTAGTAACTAGGTCATGTTTAGCCCTGGGATCACTACTGAGCAGGTCAAGGATGTCATTGTTGTAGATCTCCACCACTGATACTTCAGCACTGTGTGTGTCTGGAGGTTTTTCTTCCATCAATCTGAAGGTGCAAATGTCTAGTCCATTAGAAATTTCCCCCAGACCCAGTATATTATAAATACAGATGACTTCTGTGAACATCCACAAAGCCTTCATGTACTACCAAAGAAAATGAATCTAGTTCATAATTCTAAAATGCAATGCCCAAAAATATAAGTTAATTTTCTTGGGTCAGAATGAAAACCTCAACAAGGAGAAAAAAAAATAATGTTTTCAAGAAAACATTTAAATAAATTCAATATTTAAATAGTCTTTTAAAAAAGACTAAATATTTTACAACCTGTTATCTTTCACACAAAGAGCAAGACTCTACCAAATTTATGTTTTATCATTTTGCCACATGTAGATATAAGTTAAGTGTCATTTATGCTACCTCAGCAGTTCCCTGGTTGCTCTAGGTATGATTCCTTCATCAGGGTGGGGCTCTGTAGTTACATGATAGTCCTCATCCTTATGACTGCCCAGCATGGTGTGAGTTTTACCAGAGCCAGTTTGACCATATGCCATGATACAGACATTATACCTACAGAACAGATATCATCAATCATAACATGAATTTTGATTCTCAGCTATGTACATGTATACATAGCATCCATACTAGAACAGAACATAGGCATGTTTGTTAATTCCTGTTTACAGGTGCTCACTATAAATGCAAGTGACTCCTTTTATATCGCTATTGAATCACAGAAATATTCAAATTAATAATTTTGAAGCATGGAGATTGTAAGGGAAAATTTTCCAATATTTGATGTGATTTTTTCTTCAGTCAACAGCTAACATTGAGATAGTTTTTAATCTCCTATATTTCGATGTCTAGCAGGACATCTTCATCAGGGAATGAGGCTATCCAGGTGAATAGCCTCTATTCAGTCTCTATCCAATATTTGAATTATTTCAAAATGACAGTGCAACCTACCCATCTAAAAGTGAAGTCAGCATTGGCTGAACCTCTTCAAACACTGCTTCTTGTGACTCCTGTGGAGAGTATACCCTGATAAAACAAAACAGACCACTGCTTTGGAAGAGAATGCAATAAGATTTTATTTTTATTTTTACAAAACAAACAACTGTTAGAACACAGAAGATTTAACTGTCAAACATCCTTTTGAGGAAGGTGTTAAATTGTAGCAGTCTTGTTCTGCTTTTCTCTTTAATAATAGCAAATAGCACATCTAAATCAGAAAAAAAAAACATAAACACCACACTGTACTCTTATTTAGGATTAGAAAATATCATTCAAAGATTATAATTACTTTAAAAACAAATCCCTCAATTGACAACTATTCTTTTCAAATAAGCAACATACATGTCACTTCAAACTGTAATATTTATGGATAATGCATACTGGTAAGCTACACATGGTTAAAAAGTATTATAAACTTACCTCTCAAACTCATAAACTTTGCTGTGTTTTGATGTTTTAACCACAACATTTTCCTGAATAAAACAGAAGTTATTGAGACTTCTTTCTTAGACTGCGTTCCCTTAAACCCATTCAACTAGCTGGATCAATCTGACTATCCGTGGTTTCTTGCTAAAGTGCTTTCAGTGTAATCAGCTTAATTGTCTGACATGCCCCCTTGAGTAACTAGAGGTACTGACTATCATTAATTGCCCCCTAGCAGCTTGAGTAGGCATGTCAGACATTTAAGCTGCTTACACTGAATGCAATTTAGCAAAAATCCCTGCAGAGTTAGATCAATCCAGCTAGTAGATGGGTTTATGGGAACACTCCCTAAAATTACACTGGTATCAATTATCATTATGCTAGCTTGATGGTTATACAGAAAATAATAATCACGGAAAATCAAAATAATCTGCCACATTTTAAGCTGAAGCAAAGAAAGAAAAATGAAAAAAATGGATCAAAAACTATAAGACATCTCATACTTTTCAAATTCTTATGATATATTATCTTGTTTTTTCAATATAGTCCAATTCTCTGCTGACAAAATTAAACTCCTTACAAAAGTCTTAGATAATTTAGCACTTACATCATCCATAACATGAGTAACTACTTCTGACAAACTCCCTGGTCTGCAATATTAAATGTATTAGTTGTAATTATCAGACACCAAACTTAGGATATAATAATGAAGATTAAAGTAGTGTAAAATATTTCTGCAATAACATAATAATCTTTAAATTTTTTCCAAAGTATTTTTTACTAAAATAATTACCCCAAATCCCTCCCTACTAGTAATCATTTTACCCTGATTTTTGGCTCTGCAAACAATCACATATGACCCAAACAAACAAAATAAATTCCATCTCATACTCGTATACCTTCCTAATGTGCTAACATCCTGATTTCCTACATCAAATTCCATGAGTGGTCTGATTCTACAGTGTACACGAATGTTTCCCCGAAGTTCCTACAAAGCACATAAAAATATCAAGTTTAACTCTATTATCTTAAAATAAAAGCAAGATACAAATTAGCAAGCTAAAAAAACTGTGAATGAAATGTGACATTTTTTATTTTGAAGCAAAAATGTTCCCATGTTTGAATAAATACCTAGCAAACATGAAATGATGTCCAAATTAAGCTGACAACTTTACCATGAGTGTATTATGAAGTTCTCTTCTTCTTTTCTTTTCTTTAGCATGTCGGGCATTTGCCTCCTGCAGTGCAGCTTCCATATCCACCATCTTTTTTTCCATATCTGAGAGAAAAGGCAATGTTATCAAAACACAATTTAATACTCATTACAATTTTATATAATTCAATGAAACATTTCTGAAATAAGTCACACAACAAGCTTTAATAACAATAACAAATACATAATAACAATATTAAATACATAGTATTTCACAGAACAAAACCTGAATAAAGACCCTTATTTATCACTTTTCATACTTATTGCTTTCTTTTTCTCAAGTCTCTCTCTCTCTCTCTCTCTCTCTCTCTCTCTCTCTCTCTCTCACGCACACACACACACACACACACATTTTAAGTCTTTATACCTGACACATTAGAATAATTGAGTCTCATTTTCTGTGTTTGCAACCGTGCCTGGGACATCGCATTATCATACTCCACTTGAAACTGATGAGGGAGGGCGACAGCATCCAGTCTCAACTGCTTCATTTCATCTCGTAGTGCCTAAAATTTATAACTTAGATTATATTAAAGGATGTTTACATTTTTACAAAGTCATTTCATAATGCATTTACTCAGAAAATGAATTCTCTGATCCAACAGGAGTATGTGAAGTATGTATGTATATAAAAAGACTTAAACTCTATGCACATTTGTTTTTTCATGTTCAAATGCTTCTTTAATATGCATATTATTATACATGATTTCATTTATGAGCCACTGAAGTTTAAAATTACAAGAAAAATCAGTTTTAAATTACTTTAACTTGGCCACTAAGAGTAGCTAAGGATTCCCCAGTCCTCTGTCGCTGAAGTTGATCTGATTCATTAACTCGCTTTAGGTGCCCAGTTTCTTCCCTGCTGTCCCTCAAGATTCCTTGGAGCTGTGCAAGTTTCAAATATAACATAGCATTTTCAGTCTCCAATGCAATGATTCTTTCTTCTTTGCCCTGAAAAGATAATACACACTTAAAACACAAAACCGAGCCAATAGTAATGAATAAAATTGAATTTTTAAATACCCGAGCCTTTGTGCACTTAATTTAGGTTAAACCTAGACTACCTTATATTTTTCTATTACATACCGCCATTTAGCCTATTTAGCCTACAACGTGGAAAAAATAACAATAACACGTTTAGATATGACAAAAATAAAAAGAAACTACTGGCCCTTGATTGACATTCCAATGTTTTCAGCTTGTCAGTCAAGAAATGCGTTTGATCCATTTCAATTGGCATTTTTGACAGAAAAAAAAACAAGTGCCCCCAGGAGCCTTTTATCTTGGAAACCAATATGGCGTTGACGCTTAAAGTGAGTTTCAAACCTTATAATGCATAAGAGTTTTTCCACAGGGGTTGGAAATATTGGGGAAAATATAAATATAATTTTACAAATGATAATATCTTACACTAAAAATATAGCACAATTGAATGAAATAAATTTTATTTTTACTTTTAGATATGTCAATATGTGTTTAATTTTTTCTCCATCTCTTTCGCTTTTAAGATGTGTTCCTGTTGCCGGCGTTAAAAGAAAATGGCGGCGACACGAGAAGTCGCTCTTCTCGTTGGACAAATCCATAAGCACAAGCCCCTTATCCGGTGCAGTCTCATTATACAGGTATTGTGCTGTAGAGGGAATACTGTCCAAAGTGATTTGTTTCTTTGCCTTCGTTATAAAATTCCTCATGCCGTTTGATGTATTTAGAATGTGGATCTTCTTTCCACATGAATCAACAGCATTTAATCAAACATTTACATCGCCCAGTATAAGAGTCTACCATACTACTACTACTACTACTACTACTACTACTACTAAAAAAAATGAAACATGATTATAAAGAAGTCAGCTAGTGTGCCTTTAAATGTAAAACCGATGTAATTAAAACAGCAATAATTTTTGGGCTACTAAATTACATAGAAGTGTGAATTAGAAATTTATTCACACTTCTAAGTAATTAGTGCTGCTGTAGCTTTCTTTGCAATTTGATGTGTTAATCGTATAGCATTTATAACTTTGGTATCAGAATTTCAGTTTTGCCAGCATCAGTAAGGATGGCAACTCTGTATGTTCTTTAATTGTCTATAAAGTGGTAACTTCCAATAGAAAAAGGTTTACTAACTATATGCATTTTACTACTACTACTGCTACTACAGTAGTACTGGCACACCTTTTACTTGACAAAATTTTCTGTCTGCACACTAGTGTCACAACTTCGTGTTTTATACATTCACTGCTATAATTTGCAAGCTGCACTGAATATATTTTATTATTTATAAATGAAGAATAAAGGTGCCAGTCGTGTACTAGTAATATTAGTGGTAAGTTTAAAGTTAATATACTATCTTACTCTTAGTTATAGAAGCAGCTAGGGGCCATGTTTTTTTTTTTTTTCCAAATTGGTTGATGTTTATTATTTTTACCTGGTTATTTGTCTTCAGAAGTACTGCATGTGTACAGGGAGTCAGCAGCCACAGCTTACACACAGAGAGGTACAGAGATCTGGGGGAATCGTAACGAATAAATATGGAGAACCTTTGGCAGTTGAGCTTGTGTTGCCTAAACCATCTCTGAAGAACTATTGTGCTGACTTTGAGGAGGAGCTAAAGCAACATGGTATTTCCACATTACATAAATGTGTTTGAGAGAGAGAGAGAGAGAGAGATTCTCAAAAACCCTTTAATTATAAATAATCTCCCCTTTTAATTTTCTGTTTTTTTTTTTACCTGGTCTTACAATTTGGAAATGTATTCACGCACATG